TTTTTTTGAGACAGAGTTTCACTATTATTGCACAAGCTGGAGTGCAATGGCAAAATCTCAGCTCTCACTGCAACCTCCACCTCCCGGGTTCAAGTGATTATCCTGCCTCAGCCCCCTGACAGGCACGCGCTAACACACCAGGCTAAATTTTTGAATTTTTAGTAGAAATGGGGTTTCACCATGTTAGCCAGGCTGGTCTTGAACTCCTGACCTCAAGTGATCCACCCACCTCAGCTTCCCAAAATGCTGGGATTACAGGTGTAAGACACTGCGCATAGCAAAAAAAAAAAAAAAAAAAAAAAAAAAGAAAAGAAAAGAGATCTCCGCCTTGGACCTGCGTGTGCCTGCTGCCAGGATGTAAACTACTTATATTGCCTATAGGTGTTCTCATCTTTGCTTTCGGAGTCACCTTGTTTCATCCAGAGCCTACCGTTTTTGTGTGTGTGTGTGTGTGTGTGTTTTGTTTCTTAAGAGATGGAGTTTCAAAAAAAAAAAAAAAAAAAAAAAAAAAAGAGATGGAGTTTCACCATATTGGGCAGGCTGGTCTTGAACTCCTGACCTCGTGATCCACCCGCCTCAGCCTCCCAAAGTACTGATATTACAGGCGTGAGCCACCTCGCCCGGCCTCAGAGCCTACTGTTTAGAAAACACATGGCATCCAGGATAGTGCACCCTGATCTCCGGAGAAGTCAGTATCTTTAATTGTTTCCCGTCCTCCTCTTGCCCAAGGAATAAAAGGGCAATTAGACTTACTCTGGCTGGCATCAAGATGGTGGGTGGTTTCCTTGTCCCCTGGGGAAGGCTTGCCTTGCATGAGGCTACCCTGTGCAACCTCGAAACAATTACAGAAACCCTAGCCTATAAGACTGGTGATGCTCTTACCTGCCTCAAAGTCTCCCCAGACTCAGTAGCCACTGCTGTGCTTGACAACCACCTGGCTTTTGATGACCTCTTGGCAGAACAAGGTGGGATTTGTGAAGTCACTAACTCTTCCTGTTGTGCTTTGGTAAAGAATTCAAGATTAATAGAAAAAGACTTAAATTTATCTCCGACCAGGTCAAGTGGTTGAGCCAATTTAATGAAAAGGACACAGATGCTTGGGGAATATGGGAGATCATAAAATTGGCCTTCCCAAATCTCACCTGGTTTTTCTCCTTTCTGGGGTCTTTAGCTGCCATCCTACTTCTCTTGACTCTCGGCCCCGTCTCTCAAACTGGTCTCTTTGATGTCTAAGTGAATGGAAGCCGGCTGGGCATTGTGATTCCCACCTGTAATCCCAGAACTTTGGGAGGCTGAGGCAGATGAAACACTTGAGGTTAGAAGTTCGAGACCAGCCTGGGCAACATGGTGACACTCCACCTCTACTAAAATACGAAAATTAGCTGAGTGTGGTGGCGCATGGCTATAATCCCAGTTACCTGGGAGGCTGAGGCAGTAGAGTCTCTTGAACCCGTGAGGCAGAGGTTGCAGTGAGCTGAGATTGTGCCACTGCACTCCAGCCTGGGTGACAGAACAAGACTCCATCTCTAAATAAAAATAAATAAATAAATAGGTGAATTGAAGCCATATGGGGATACAAACAGCTAGATTTGGACCCAGGAGATAATCAGACCTACCTAAGACTAGGTAGGGAAAAATTTCACTCCTCTAATGGGCCCCATGTCAACACCCAAATTCAGCTTGAAGAAGTTGTAGAAGACGGACTTTCATTTCTCAGTACTCCTCAAGAATGTGGACTGAGGCCAGACACAATGGCTCAAACCTGTAATCCCAGCATTTTGGGAGGCTGAGGCAGGCAGATCACTTGAGCTTAAGAGTTTGAGACCAGCCTGAGGAACATGGTGAGACCCCTTCTGCACAAAAAAATACAAAAATTAGCTGAGTGTAGTGATGCGTGCCTGTGGTCCCAGCCACCCTGCAGGATGAGCTGGAAGGGTCCCTTGAGCCAAGGAGGTGGAGGCTGCAGTGAGCTATGATCACGCCACTGCACTCCAGCATGGGTGACAGAGCAAAACCCTGTTTAAAAAAGAAAAGAAAAGAAAAGAAAAAGAATGAGGAGTGGATGTAGAGAAAAAGAGAGATTTGTGCTTTTTGGTTTTTTGTTGTTTTGGGGAGAAGGGGCAAATGCAATGGCTAGTCTTTATTGGAAAAGAGAGACTTTACAGCACATGTGAGTAACCGCGTAGAGGCTCTGTGGGCCACCTGATGGAGCACCAGCTTGTAATGGGTTCCCCAGTTAGGCTATCACTGGGTCTCGCCTTTGTGTAGCCAAAGCCAGATGATGGCACTATTGTCCTCTTCATAGATGCAGCCCACTATTCATTTATTGGTGCTGGTGGGGACCAAATTAGGGTCTTCCTTGGTGCCTGAAGCTGCCTTTGGGGGCATTATATTGTATGGGTCCATTCCCTTCCGTGCAGCCATCATGACCTCCCTTTTCAACCTAGTCACCTTCTTGTCATCAGTAAGAATAACACAGTGGCTCACGCCTGTAATCCCAGCACTTTGGGAGGCCAAGACGGGTGGATCATGAGGTCAAGAGATCGAGACCATCTTGGCCAACATTGTGAAACCCTGTCTCTGCTAAAAAATACAAAAATTATCTAGGCATGGTGGCATGCACCTGCAGTCCCAGTTACTCGGGAGGCTGAGGCAGGAGAATCTCTTGAACCCGGGAGTCGAAGGTTTCCGTGAGCTGAGATCGCACCACTGCACTCCAGCCTGGCAACAGAGCAAGACTTAGTCTCAAAAAAAAAAAAAAGAAGCCCACCTCCAGACACCGCAGAGTGCACTATGGCCACCCCACCCCACTGGAGTTGGAAGCCCTCAGGGCCTTTGTGGCCAGTGCTCCAGAGCTATGAAACAATCTTGAAGCCGTCACAGCTGTGACAAGCAGTAGCACTGAGAGATTTGACACCTGGTATAATGCCCATGTGACATAGGTGAATTCCTACCATCCTTTAACTCTGCTTATCTTTAAGAAACAGGGCGCCTGCAATTAAAAGTTCCCTTTGTAACCAGACCAGCTGAGACTGGTTAGAACCAACAGAGTCAACAAAACAAAGACCTTAGGCTTCGTTACAATCTTATTCCCATGCTAAATGATACTCCCACTAATGCATGATTCTTGACAATTACCATGACCAGGACCAGAAGAAGCCATAAAAGAACACAAAAAGAAGGCAGCACTGTGCTTCTGGGAATTTCACCACCCGTTTCCAGAAAAGGTGTGAATATTTCTCCCTTTGCTTTTACCGTCCAACCCCTTCATTAGAGAAGCCCTGTATTCAGTCCCCTCACCTATCACTTGTTTTTTTTTTTTTTTTTTTGAGACGGAGTTTCGCTCTTGTTACCCAGGCTGGAGTGCAATGGCGCGATCTCGGCTCACCGCAACCTCCGCCTCCTGGGTTCAGGCAATTCTCCTGCCTCAGCCTCCTGAGTAGCTGGGATTACAGGCATGTGCCACCATGCCCAGCTAATTTTTTGTATTTTTAGTAGAGACGGGGTTTCACCATGTTGACCAGGATGGTCTCGATCTCTCAACCTCGTGATCCACCCGCCTCGGCCTCCCAAAGTGCTGGGATTACAGGCTTGAGCCACCGCGCCCGGCCACCTATCACTTGTTGAGACATTGATTTGTGAGCCTGGCTCCCACTTCTGGATTCTATGGCCATCGAATAAAGCCTGCACTGCTGACACTCACTTTTAGTTTTGTATATTGGCTTCATGACACCGAATAGGAAAAGACCACATCTTTTTGTGGGGACCAGCTTTGTTGTTAACAGAACTGGCAACCCAGATGGGACCCTAAACGAGATTAGGGAAGACCTATTTAGGAAGGTCCTTTACCTCCCCAGAGACCTGGCAACTGGTACCTGCCAGCTGGAACTGGCTTTGTCAGTAACATTGTGATGATTAAATGTAAACATAAACTCTTAGGACAGTACATGGCATAGGATGAGAATAGTCTGGGTTTTTTTTGTTTTGTTTTGCTTTTTGTTTGTTTGTCACCCAGGCTGGATTGCAGCTGCGTGATCTTTGCTCGTGCGGGCTCAAGCGATTTTCCTGCCTCGGCCTCCCGAGTAGCTGGGTTACATGGGTGTGCCATCATGCCCTGGCTAATTTTTGTACTTTTAGTAGAAATGGGGTTTCACCAGGTTGGCCAGGCTGGTCTTGAACTCCTGACCTCAGGTGATCTGCTCACCTTGGCTTCCCAAAGTGTTGGGTTGGGATTATAGGAGTGAGCCACTGTGCCTGGCCTTTCTTCTTCTTTTTATTATTTTATTTTATTTTATTTATTTAAGAGATGGGGTTTCACCATGTTGGCCAAGCTGGACTTGAACTCCTGGCCTCAAGTGATCCACCCACCTCAGCCTCCCAAAGTGCTGGGATTACAGGTGTGAGCCACTGCACCTGGTCTTTTTTTTTTTAGACAGAGTCTCGCTCTGTCACCCAGACTGGAGTGCAGTGGCATGATCTCAACCCATTTCAACCTCTGCTTCTCTGGTTTAAGCTATTCTCCTGCCTCAGCCACCTAAGTAGCTAGAATTACAGGCACCTGCCACCACGCCTGGCTAATTTTTTGTGTTTTTACTAGAGACGGGGTTTCACCATATTTGCCAGGATGGTCTCAATCTCCTGACCTTGTGATCCACCTGCCTTGGCTTCCCAAAGTGCTGGGATTACTAGTGTGGGCCACTGCACCTGGCCTTTCTTTCTTTCTTTCTTTCTCTTTCTTTCTTTTTCTTTCTTTCTTTCAGATATAGGTTCACTCCGTCACCCAGGCTGGAGCACAGTGGTGTGATCTCAGCTCACTGCAACCACCGCCTCCCAGGTTCAAGCGATTCTCGTGCCTCAGCCTCCCAAGTAGCTGGGATTAAAGGCATATGCCACCTTACCCAACTAATTTTTGTATTTTTAGTAGAGACGGGGTTTCACCATGTTGGCCAGGCTGGTCTCAAACTTCTCTTTTTTTTCTTTTTTCAGTCTTTCATATGATTTTATTTTCTTCCTTCAACCATAATGATATGATATCCAAATTTTGTCTTAACTGGTAGATCTGTAAACACAGGGGTATCCATCCCACTTACAGGCAAGGCAAATGCTGCTGCTTTTTTTTTCTTTTGAGACAGAGTCTCACTCTGTCGCTAGGTGCCAGGCTAGAGTGCAGTGGTGTGGTCTTGGCTCACTGCAATCTCTGCCTCCTGGCTTCAAGCAGTTCTTCTGCCTCAGCCTCCCAAGTAGCTGGGACTACAGGCTTGCACCATCACGCCCAGCTAATTTTTGTATTTTAGTAGAGACGGGGTTTCACCATGTTGGCCAGGATGGTCTCAATCTCTTGATCTTGTGATCCGCCCGCCTCGGCCTCCAAAGTGCTGAGACTATAGGCGTGAGCCACCGGCCAAGCGCTGCTTCTTGAAATAGTCCCACCATGGACTCTCTGGTCATCCAACCCAAGTCGCTCCCTTGCCTGGCTTTATCCTCACTACATTGTGCGGCCGCTTCATTGAATCTCATCCCACACTTTGACTTTTCCATGGCTTCCATGACTTTGCCATGTTTTTCACACAGAATGTGTCTGACCTTTACTGCATCGCCACCACCTTTGGGACCTTGAGCCTTCTTGTCAGCACTGTCACTCCCAGAGGCTGTTCCCCCTGTCCCTGATTTTCCAGAACCACTTTTTCCTTTGGGCGGCATCTTGGAAACTCGCTGTTGAACTCTCTGATCTTGAACTTCTGACCTCAAGTGATCTGCCTGCCTTGGCCTCCCAAAGGGCTGGGATTACAGAACTGTCAACTTCATTTTTTTATCCTCATACTCTTCCAGCTGACAACCTTGTTCAGGTGTGCCAAATGTTTGGAGAACCATATAAGTTGAGTTTATTTGTATTCAGTTTGGAATTCTGAAACATTTATTAAACTCTTTGATCGATGTCGACTAGGGAAACATGCATCTGCTCAATAGTGACTGCTCTGAAAAAGTCCCTGTTAGCTACTAGCTACAGGTTTCCTCTATCCAAGGAGGACATCTAGAGGCTAATTGTGATGTGTAGCCTTTCCAGGAATGCTTTCCAAATTGTTTTCTCCACAGATCCAGTCATAAATCATAAATCACAGATCCAATTAGTCTAACTAGAATAAATATTAAAGTATAGCTACAGACCTAATGAGGTTATGTTTATTTTCCAGGCAAAGTAGAAGTACCTTAAGGTTACAGAAGAACTTTTAAATGTGATGAGTGGGGAGAAGAGCTGTAAAGACAATCTGAGGGCTAGGCATGGTGACTCACCTCTGTAATCCCAGTACTTTGGGAGGCTGAGGCAAATGGATTACTTGGGGAAAAACCCATCTCTACTACAAATACAAAAATAAGCTGGGTGTGGTGGCATATGCCTGTAATCCCAACTCCTTGGGAGGCAGGAGAATCGCTTGAACCCAGGAGGAGCAGGTTGCAGTGAGGTGAGACTGTGCCACTGCACTCCACCATGGAAACACAGTGAGACTCTGTCCACCCGCTGCCCAAAAAAAAGAGATAAAAGAAAAATTTATACCAATTATGGGTTCAGAAATTATTTTAATGCTTCCAATTTTTAAATGGTGATTGTATCAAGAAACTAAAGTTTATTACTAGCATTCCATAGGCCCTCTTTTTCTGCTGCCTAACTTGCCTAATGTTTTAGGATTACCCATTTCTTCATCAGTTTCTTCCGTTCCTATAATATATTCCTATATAAAAGATTCCTATATATTAACTTAGATTAGTATACCAATTGTATTAACTCAGGAAATAATTGTGAAACTGATGGTCAATATTCTCTTCCTAAATTTTACAGGTGACTCTTATTTTGACAGTTTTCAGCTATCTATTTCAAGTGGGAGTCTTACAGGTGTTGAAGACAGAAGATGGAAAAGGTGTGACGTAGCCTCCAAAATCAGTCAATTCTGCCATATTTATTGGTCAAAGCAAACCACAGGACCAGACCAGAATCGAGGAAAAGAGAAATAGACTACACACTTGGAACCACACTGGATGTCATCATAAGTTATTCCTCTCTTTCTCCGGGGAAATGATTTTAAAGCACAGAGGTAATTTGAACACATAAAATTGAATTGCAAATAAGTTACAGTTTTATTTTATTTTATTTTATTTTATGAGGCAAGTTCTTACTCTGTCGCCCAGGCTGGAGTGCAGTGGCCCAATCACAGCTCACCGCAGCCTCAACCTCCTGGGCTCAGATGATCCTCTTGCCTCAGCCACCCAGGTAGCTGGGACTACAGGCACACACCTCCACATTTGGCTAATTTTTTTGTCCTTTTTGTGGAGACAGTGTTTCAATTCGTTGCCCAGGCTAGTCTTGAACTCCTGGGCTCAAGTGATCTGCCCACCTCAGCCTCTCAAAGTGCCGGAATTACAGGAGTGAGCTACTGCACACAGCCCAAGTTACAGTTTTCATACTGAAACAGAAAGTCTTGTTTAATTTGGCTTTTTCCAGTGACACTTTTTTCTTTTTCTTTTTTTGAAGTCCTGAAGCAGGCTTATTTCCAAAAAAAATGAGTCATTTTTTTCCACTGTGGTTTTTTGTTGCAACCTACATGTAACAGTGGGCAACTCGGGGTATTCCATTCATTCCCCTCTTCCCTTTAAGGCAACTTACGGCCTCTTTAAAGATAATCACATAGTTTTGAAGAAATGGCACATTAATTTTTTGTTTCACTGTAATCCTTTTCTCTATTCTCATTTTCAGTATAATTTGCAAATTAGGAATGAACATTCTTCTCATCCTATACTTTGAAAATATGATGTTATGGCAGGTCAACATTTTAACAACTTTTCTGTGGCAGGCTTCAATAATAGTCATATTACAGGCACATGTCTCAATAGGCTATCTTCTTCCATTTCTGTCAAAAGCCTCAAGTGTTTCTGCATGTTGTTAAAAAAACTGAAAACTCACCAAAAACTTTTATTATTGTCTTAGTCTGTTTGAGTTGCTATGAAAAGATACCTTAGACTGGGTAATTTATAAACTACAGGGCTGTGCGCAGGGCTCATGCCTGTAATCCTAGCACTTTGGGAGGCCGAGGTGGGTGAATCACTCGAGGTCAGGGATTTGAGACCAGCCTGGCCAACCCCGTTTCTACTAAAAATGCAAAATTTAGTCAGGTGTATGCAGACACCTTGTAGTCCCAGCTATTTGGGAGGTAGAAGCAGGAGAATTGCTTGAACCTGGGAGGCAGAGGTAGCAGTGAGCCGAGATCACACCACTGCACTCCATCCTGGGCAACAGAGTGAAACTCCGTCGCAAAAAAATAAAAGCCAACAAACAAATAAACAACAGGTTTTATTACTCATAGCTCTGGAGGCTAGGAAGTCCAAGATCATGGGGCCAGGAGATTAAGCGTCTGATGAGGGCTCACTCTGATATCTTCTTGCTGTGTCCTCACATCACAGAAGAGTCCAGCAGCTAAATCAGACCCTTTTACGAGTGCTAATCACATTAATAAGAGCTAGTCTTCATGACCTAATCAACCCCTAAAAGCACCCCCTCTTAATACTATTGCAGTGGGAATTAGGTTTCAATCCCCAGGACACAAATATTCAGGCCACAAGTAAACAAATCATACATTGTCTTCGTCTGTTTTGTACTGCTGTAACAGAATACTACAGACTGGGTAATTTATAATAAACAAAAATTTATTGGCTCAGAGTTCAAGAGTCTAGGAAGTCCAGGACCAAGCAGCCAGCATGTTTAGAGGGTCTCCTTGCTGCTTTGTTCCATGGCAGAAGGTAGAAGGAGCAAGAGTGAGAGACCAAGGTGGGTGGGGGGCAAACTTGCTTTTCTAACAAACCCACTCTCGATAGCTAACCCACTCTTACAATAATGACATCAATCACCTCCTATTAGACCCTATCTCTCAACACAGTAGCATTGGGGATTAAGTTTCCAACACATAGGCCGGGCGAAGTGGTTTAACGCCTATAATCACAGCACTTCGGGAGGCCAAGGCAGGTGGATCCCCTCAGGTCGGGAGTTCAAGACCAGCCTGACCAATATGAAGAAACCTCGTCTCTACTACTGAAAAATACAAAATTAGCCAAGCGTGGTGGCACATGCCCCAGCTACTCAGGAGATGGATGCAGGAGAATCACTTGAATCTGAGAGGCAGAGTCTGCAGTGAGCCAAGCTTGCACCATTGCACTCCAGCCTGGGCAGCAAGAGCGAAACTCCGTCTCAAAATTTAAAAAGTTTCTAACACTTAAACTTTAGGGGACACATTCAAATCATAGCATTCTGCCCCTAGCCCCCCCAAATTCATGTTTTTCTCACAATGCAAAATACATTCATTCAGCCCAGTAGTCCCCAGTGTGTTTTTTCAGCATCAACTCAAAAATCCAAAGTCCAGAGTCTCATCTAAACCACGTATGAATGAGACTCAAGGCGAGATACGTCCTGAGGTAAATTCCTCTCCCACTGTGAGCCTATGAAATTAAAAAACTAAGTGTTTTCAAAATGCAATGGTGTGACAGGCATAGAATAGGCATTCTCATTCCAAATTGGAGAAACGGGCAAGAAGAAAGGGGTAACTGGTCCCAAGTAAGTCCAGAATCCAACAGGGAAAACAATATTTATTAAAGCTGGGGAATAGGCCAGGCATGATGGCTCCTGCCTGCAATCCCAGCACTTTGGGAGGCCGAGGCAGGTGGACTGCCTGAAGTCAGGAGTTCGAGACCAGCCTGGCCAACGTGGTGAAACCCTATCTCTACTAAAAATACAAAAAAATTAGCCAGATGGGTGGCAGGCACCTGTAATCCCAGCTACTAGGGAGGCTGAGGCAGGAGAATCGCTTGAGCCTAGGAGGCAGAGGTTGCAGTGAGCCGAGATCATGCCATTGCACTCCAGCCTTGGTGACAGAGCAAGACTCTGTCTCAAAAACAAAACAAAACAAAACAAAACAAAAAGATGGGGAATAATCAGTCTCCTTGTACTCCATGTCCCATATCCAGGGCACATGGAGGCAGGGGTTGGGCTTCCAAGGCCTCAGGCAGTAACCCTCACTTGTTGGAGTCTTGTACCTACAGATTTTCTAGTCTGCAGTTGCTCACTGGAGGCTCTACGGTTCTGGGTTTCAAAAAAATTATTTGAAACTTTTTAAAAATCCAAAGTCCCTAAGAGTTTGGAAAATTTATTGTTGTTGTTGTTCCTGTGATTCAAGGCATCACCTGATAGACTTTAGAAAGTATGATAGATATGATGAGATCCGACGTCACTGGGGAGGCAATGTCCTGGGTCCCAAGTCTGTGGCTCGCATCGCCAAGCTCGAAAAGGCAAAGGCCAAAGAACTGGCCACAAAACTGGGTTAAATTGTAAAATTTTCTTGTAAAAAATAATAAAAATTTTCCTTCAAAAAAAAAAAAAAAAAAAAAAGAAAGTGTGAGTGTTGGTAGGACCTGTCAGAATCAGCTCTCTGTTATGAGGGGCCAACCCATCTGTCATCAAACTTCCCCTTTTGTTTGCAAATAAGACATTTATTTGCAACCTCTGAATCGAGAAATATAACCTTATTCAGTTTCACAGAGCAATCAAGGAATGTGTGTTAATCCATGTTAGTTTTTGTGATATGCCCAAATCAATGCAGCAGCAACTATTTTAGACTGAGCATTGGTGTCTTTTGAGGAGATGCAAACATTTTTCATTGTTGCAGAAGTACTTACCTTTC